AGATCTACCTGCATAGCCTCAGGTTCAGAGTCTGTAGGTGTTTGTGGGGTCGGAGTAGAAATTCTTGAATAGAAAGTAGGAGTAGCACTTGGTTTAAAAGAGCCCTGTCTTTCCAATCTTCTTTCTGAAAGTCTCCGATCAATACGGATAGCCAACCGCACAAATGCATCAAACTCAACAGGAAGATCAACACGAGCTAGCTCATCTTTTATAGCTTCTGAGAGACCCCTTCTGAAGTGGAACCTCTGGGCTGATTGGTTCCAAGTAGTATCAGTAACCCACTGTCTGAATTCAGCAGCATATTTAGCCACAGAGCGCCTCCCTTAATGTAAATGAAGGAGAGTGGCTTCTGCTGTAGCACAGCGATTGGGATCATCAAAAACTAGGCACATGGCCTCAAGAAAGTCTTTTCAATTTCCCAAGACTGGATTGTCCTGTTCCAGAAAAGGGGAGCCCCAGGCCAGGGCTTCATATTTGAAGAGGGAAAAAATGAATCCCACCTTCTCTCTTTCAGATGGAAAACGGTTAGGTAACATCATGAAATGCAAATGGCATTGATTTAGGAAACCCCTAAATTTTTTGCGGTCTCCTCCAAATTTTTCTGGTAGAGGCAAGCGGGCATCTTGTGCAGGTGTAACAGTAGTAGTAGCAGCAGCCGCAACATCATGTGCCCTGTAGCTGGTAAGCTCACTATGCATTGATCGAACTTCATTTTGCAGTTCAGCTACCTGATCCTGCAGCACTTGAATGGTCTGTGCCTGGGTATGCATAGTTCTTGCATTAAAAGCAACCTGCTGGGCCAATGCAGAATCTGATCCGATGGTCTCCATGAATGGGCCAGATTATTCTGTAAAGATATTGATGTTACAAAGTTTTGGAGTCCAGTAGCCAGATCAGCAATGTTTTCTGCCAGAGGTAGCCACTCGTTACCCAGGTGGTTGAGCCCCTGAGCCTTGAGTGGCCTTCTGGTCTTAAGCAGAGATGGGAGACTGGAACAGAAAGATGATAATCGTAGTGAGGCAAGCCGAGGTCAGTGGGAAGGAGAAGCAGCAAAGTCAAAACAGTCCAAATTCAGCAACAGGAAGGAGAAACAGGAACACGCTTGATTAGAGAGTACAGGAACCACAATAATCTGGCAAAGGTACAGAGACAGGAAGTGGCTTTTATAGGCAAAGAACCAGACACCTGACCAGACACAACTGAAGAGAGTTGTCACTGATAACCTTGACTCTACAAGCAATGGTATCAGATCTCAGGTAAATTTGCAAAAGGCAGGCTGGTGTACTGGTAAGGAAGAGGTTTAGCACCATGTAAACCAGGGTTTGAAACCCAGCAGAGTCAGTTCCTCACAGATAGGTAAGATGAGTCAGGCAGGTCTTGTTCTTTGAGAACACTGCAGGCTGCACCTGTGTCAACTAAAAAGGTAGTAGGATGACCCTCTATGGGTAGGACTACTGTAGCGAGAGGCCCCCCTCTGTTCTCTGAAAACACTGCCATGACAGGAGTGTTAGACACAGGTTTGCCAGTTACCTATTGTAAGAGGTCTAGATGAGATTAATCAAGGCCAGTGTAGTGACATGTGGGTGTGGACAATCTTTCCTGAAATGACCTAATTGGTTACAATTAATGCAAGCCCTGGTCTGAGGTGCGTGTGTATGGTGTTGTAGCTGGCATGGGGTACCCTGCGGGTGCTGGGGGATTACTTTTCCTTTGGGGTGGCTGTAGTGCAGATTCTAGGCCTTTAGCAACCAAAAGGAGAGTGTCTAGAGGAATAATCCTATATTCAGGGCGGGAAAACACTAAGCCTTTCCTGATGGCTTCCTTAAAGGACCACTATAGGCACCCAGACCACTTCAGCTTGATAGGATTAACTCTTTTTTTTTATAAACATAGCAGTTTCAGAGAAACTGCTATGTTTACACTGAGGGTTAATCCAGCCTCTAAAGCCGCTAGAGGCGCTTGTGTGATTCTCACTGTGAAAATCACAGTGAGAAGACACCAGCGTCCATAGGAAAGCATTATGAATGCTTTCCTATGAGACTGGCTGAATGCGGGCGCGCCTCCTGTTGCGCATGCGCATTCAGCCAATGACGTCGCTAGGAAGAAGGAGAGGAGGAAGAAAGCTCACCGCCCGGCGCTGGAGAAAGGTAAGATTTTAACCCCTTCCTCTCCCCAGAGCCCGGCAGGAGGGGGACCCTGAGGGTGGGGGCACCCCCAGGGCACTATAGTGCCAGGAAAACGAGTATGTTTTCCTGGCACTATAGTGGTCCTTTAAGGCCCGCAACAAAGGCCGCTGATAACATTTGGGTATGCACCTTATTGTATACACTGAATCCTAGATCAGAGAAAGTTTGAGTCAATCGTGAATGGTACTTCTCCACAGACTCAAGTTTATTTTGTATAATATCATTTATACAAGTGGCTTGGTCAGCTAGTTTATCCTGGGCCCAGGCCCGAAGCTGTTCACAGAAGGTGATACCCGACTGAATATCCATATCAGTAGTGAGGAGAACGTCATTAAAACTCCTTTCTATAATGGGCCAATAGGCATCCCCAGCTTTGATCTCACACAGACTATACAGATCACGCCAGGCAGCTGAGTATGTCTTGCGAATCTGGGCAATCCTCCGAAAGAAGGACATGGGGTGTTTCTCAGGATTGAGGAGGGAGGTTACCAGGGTTGCAGCTTGGGATGGGTTGAAAGTAACATACCTTGGGGGAGCCCTTTCCACAGTTGATAAGGTGTGGATATGATTGGCCAGGGTGGCCTGTCTCTGGGAAACCCTATGATTCGCAGGGCGGAATGGGCTGAGCCCCTGCACGTTGTCATCTTCGGGGGGAATCGGGAATGGGAGACCATGGTAGCTGGTGGCATCTTGTGAATTCGGGGCTTGAGCGACCAGAGCACCGGAGTTGGGGGAACCAACAGCAATGGCCTGGGGAGTAACTAATTGAGAGGTAGTGGGATGAAAGCCTGATGCAGCAGGAGAGGCGCCTACAGTATGAGGTTGTTCCAATGCAACAGATTTATTCAACCCAACTATCATGATTGGGTAACTAGGAGCCTCCATGAGGGAGGTGGAGACAGGAACTGGACTGGGTGGGGGGGTGGAAGAGGAAATGGGTGCTGGGAGGGGAAGTGATAGTCATAACCGGAGGTTTGAGTAAGCTGAGGGAGATGAGCGGAGAGGGAGGGAGGGACTACGGGATTGGAGGCTGGAAGGGAAGGAGAAGCTGAAACTGGGACGGAAGGGGCGATGGGAAGAGGAGAGGGAGATGCAGGAGCGGAGGGAGTGGCACAGGAAGATTGGTCAAAGGGGGATATGGCAGAAGGAGATGTGACAAGGGGAAAAACGGGTGAAAGCGGGAGGGGAGCAGGAATAGAAGGAATGACGGGGAGAGGAACAAGAAGGGTGACAGGGGAGGCAATAGGTGAAGGTGAAAGGGGAGCTGGAATAGAAGGATTGACAGAGGGAGGTGGGAGACTGGTGATCTCAGAAGAAGTAGTAGAGGAAGGTAGAAGAGGGACGGGATCAGAAGCGACAGGGGAAGGTGGAAGAGAGACGGGACCCGAGGGAAGTGGGAGAGGGACTGGGATAGTGGGAACGACGGTAGGAGGTGGGAGAGAGGTGGGAACAATAGGAATGAAAGAGGGAGGTGGGAGAGTGACGGAAACAGTAGGAATGACAGAGGGAGGTGGGAATGGGGTGGGAGCAGAGGGAAGTGGGAGAGGGACGGGATAGTAATAAGATCCGTCCGCCCCGAGGGCGTGGTACAGAGGGGTGGGGACAGAGGAGCCTACACCAATTGGAGGTGACGACTGGGTAGTGGCTGGGGAGGTGGAGTCAGATTCTTTCACATTGTGTTGGGCGCCATCATAGGGCGGTGGCTGGGGAACATCAAGAGATGAATCATCATTACAAACATTTCTATGATATACATAAATCGATTGTCCTCCAAAATCTAGTTCTTCCTCTAACCAACCCATTCGCTTGAGTCCTTTTGCCACCCGATACCAAGCCATCAGGGTTCATGTCCCATTTTTACCAAACAAGGCTTCCCACGTAAGCGGGACAGAGAGAGAGAGAGGAAAAAGAAGGAATGTCTACAGTGATCGACTGCCACGAGGAATTGATCTTCGTGCGTATTCCCTAAACGTAGACTAGTCACGGGAACCGCCCACCTGAGATGGTGGCCACGGATCTTAGCAGGCGAGCGTGGGTGACTAACACAGCTCTGGGTAAAAAGTACAGAGAGGTAGAGAATGTAGGAAAATGTGAACGTGGAGAGACTAATCAGAGACAGCATGCCCTTATAAATTACATCATATGCATTGTCAGAGATAACATGGAATAATACATCAATAATTGGTTAGGTGTTAAGTGGTTCATTTATTGTTCTTCCTACCGGGTGTGATGTCACTGGTATCTTGGAGGTCTCCCCCAGATTCCAGTGCCATCTTGTTAATGAGGGTGTTAGTCGATGTCAAAGGGAAACTCCCTAGCGGCCATTTTAGGAAAATCACATATAAGGTTGAATAATGCTGATTGTGGTTATGCTGAGTAAATAGGCATTTTATTATTATGAATTGGGTTAATATTTTGTCCACAACAAGATGAGACTAGATTTACCGGTTCTTAGAATGGCCAGGTTATACGTTTTAGATAAAGAATGGTCAGGGTCAGGGTCAGGCTGATTCAGGGAAGCCAGAAATCAGAGTGAACAAGTGAACAACAGGAGAACAGAACGGAGAATAGTCAGAGGAAAGTCAAGATCAAAATACAAAAATAGACACTGAATATAACGCACTCTTGGGAACTGTAAACAGAAACCACAACAGGGCAAAGATCCCCTAAGTGCCCTTTTTATATCTTATGCTTTTAATCTATAGCCACGCCCCCAAAACATATAATGCAGTGTGTTTGTGTAGTGTGTTTATATAATGCAGTGTGTGTTTGTGTAGTGTGTTTATATAATGCAGTGTGTATATAATGCAGTGTGTTTGCATAGTGTGTGTATATAATGCAGTGTGTTTGTGTAGTGTGTTTATATTATGCACACTACACAAACACACTGCATTATATACACACACTATACAAACACAAACTTTGCATTATATAAACACACTACATTCACTATACACACACTACACAAATACACACACACTCTGCATTCATTATATACACACATTACACAAACACACACTTTGCATTTAGTATATACAACATTCACTTTACGCACACTACCCACACACTACACAAACACTCTGCTTTCATTATATACACACTACACTAATACACACTGCATCCACTACAAACACTAGACAAATACACACTGCATCCACTAGACAAATACACACTGCATCCACTACACAAACACACATTGCATCCACAACACACACATTACACAAACACACACTGCATCCACAACACACACACTACACAAACACATACTGCATCCACAACACACACACTACACAAATACACACTGCATCCACAACACACACACTACACAAACACACACTGCATACACTACACACACACTACACAAACACACACTGCATCCACTACACACACACTATACAAACACACACAGCTCCCCTGTCTAAACACACTGCATCCACTACATGTAGCATGTATATTTTGTGCATTTACCTTTAGAAATAGTTTTTATTTTCCAAAATGGTAAATGTACAGAATATCGGCAAATTATATCGGCTATCGGCCTGAAAGTTCACAGAATATCAGTATCGGTATTGGCTCTAAAAAATCAATATCGGTCGATCAGAGTAAAGCTGTGGAGAAACCTGTTGGAGGGATTAGCACCATTTGGTGAGAGTCCCATTCATGAATCAGCCAATGCCACTTAGTGGCTCAACAGCGTGTTGGTTCTGAAACAAGCATCAAGCACAGGGGTTCAGACATGCAGGCCATCAGTGTGGAGAAATTCTTCAGACCCCACAGTACAGTCGCGTGCTGGAGATGTTGTATACATGTTGCTGCTGGTTTACCTGCAGGTGTCCCAGCCCTCCATGGGGAGCATAATATCGGCCAAAGTGGAGAGCAGTTCACTGGTCGCAATATCAGGCACCTGCGGTGAAGTCCAGCGGCTGTGCCCAGAGTCAGTGGTGTAGGCTTGGATGCAATCAGAAGGTGATGCCTGCCCCGCCGCTTTTTTTGGGCCTCCTCGCCTTGTAAACCAGAGGCTTGCGGTGGCGGCGTGGTTGTGCCAGAGTAGGTAAGGGGTCACTCTGCAGTTTTCTCCAGAAGTCAGCAAAGATGTGGTCCAGCTTAGACAGGTTGTCAGCCTGCTGATAGTCGTGGTCAGACGCGCATAATATACAAAATACCTAAAAATGATACTGCACTCAAAAACTTTAGATAGAGTTCATTACTTCATTTAATAATTCATTGTTATATTATATGGATATAATTCATTAATTACAAAAAATTGATAATATATACTCTTAAGTCAAAATATTGATAATATATACACTTAAATCAAACAATATGTATTAGTAGACACAGCCTACTAATATAACTCCATGTAACTATCTTTAATTATCTGTAACTATCTGACCACAGATTTGTGAATCATCAAGTTATGCTGTATTACTGTATCTTAGAGTCCAATAGTACAATCCAAAAAAAGGGTAAATTAGAAAAAAGGATCAAAAAATAAAAAAATAAGAAAAAAATGAAAAAAGTGAAAAAAAGTGAAAAAAGACAAAAAGAGAAAAATAAGTATATACAGTCCCAGATTGTACACACTACAATATATGGGTGGATCTTTTTTCAGGCTGTATGTGTATCTTGATGTATAAGTCGTGGTGCAATGGTAGATCCCTGTAGTCGTTGTCAATCTTTTATTTCTCCCAGATTGTATGTAAAAGAAATCCCTCACTTCTCCTGGAGGTACCGGACTCTTTTCTTCTGTCTGCTGGTACAGGGTCTTGTGATGGGCTGCACACTCGGGATCTAAAACATCCCTTCAATGGCCCTGTCAGAAATAAGAAAATAAAAATCCCATATTTATGTATTTTTCGGCGCGCCCGCTTGAGTGCGTGGGTCGCGCCTGAATGACGTCATGACGCTCGCGTCTGTTTGCCCACTTGTGTATGCGGGTTGCGTCTGTATGACGTCATTATACATGCAACTCAGAATATGTGGTTTACATCTTGAAATGCCCTTGTGGGTTTCTCTATGTTGGGGAAACGATCAGGCCAGTGAAAGAGCGTATTGGAGAACATAAGAGGGACATAAGAGCGGCCATTCAGAAAGGGACATGTGACAAACCAGTACCTAGGCATTTTTAATAGCAAGGTCACAATGTCAATCAATTACGTTTTCAAGTAATTGACAGTGTTAAACCATTACGGAGGGGTTGAGATAGACAAAAGGGACTTTTATGCAAAGAAACAAAGTGGATTAGCACTTTGGAAACACTCCATCCGGATGGTCTGAATGAGGACTAGGACCTTAAGCATTTTTTGTAGAATGATTTAGAGCCCAACATAACAGTGTTTAAGCTTATTACCTTCTTGGTCCGTTTATTCGGGCTAATTTATCATTTTATATCCACAGTAAGTCATTGGGATCCTATATGGCACGCCTGTCTCTTTTACTCTTCAAAAGTCATTAAAGAAGTTGAAAAATACATAAATATGGGATTTTTATTTTCTTATTTCTGACAGGACCATTGAAGGGATGTTTTAGATCCCGAGCGCGCAGCGCATCACAAGACCCTGTACCAGCAGACAGAAGGAGAGAGTCCGGTACCTCCAGGAGAAGTGAGGGATTTCTTTTACATACAATCTGGGAGAAATAAAAGATTGACAACGACTACAGGGATCTACCATTACACCACGACTTATACATCAAGTTACACATACAGCCTGAAAACAAGACCCATATCCTTGGAGAATGTGGTGAGATCCACCCATATATTGTAGTGTGTACACACTGGGACTGTATATACTTATTTTTCTCTTTTTGTATTTTTTCAATTTTTTTCACTTTTTTCTTATTTTTTTATTTTTTTATCCTTTTTTCTAATTTACCCTTTTTTGGATGGTACTTTTGGACTCTAAGATACAGTAATACAGCATAACTTGATGATTCACAATTCTGTGGTCAGGGATCTTTAGTTACATGGAGTTATATTAGTAGGCTCATAATGTACTGTGTCTACTAATACATATTGTTTGATTTAAGTGTATATATTATCAATTTTTTGACTTAAGAGTATATATTATCAATTTTTTGTAATTAATAAATTATATCCATATAATATAACAATGAATTATTAAATGAAGTAATGAACTCTATCTAAAGTTTTTGAGTGCAGTATCATTTTTTGGTATTTTGCATGTTTCTTTGTAGGTCGCCTGCTTACTCGGCAACACCTCTTAGGCCTGTTACACCTTCATAGCCTTCCAGGAGTGGACTGGGATCACCCCTGCTGGTCCAAGGGGGAGAGTAAATGGGGCACAGCTTGTAGTTGTTGGTGCTCAGGATGTACCAGGCCAGTAGATCGTCCGCCTCTCCCGTCCAGTATGCCTCCCAGGCATCACTGCTGAAAGAGGTGAGACAACCAAAACTGTAGCGGTCAGCCCCTCCACGGTGGATCAGCTTGGTCAGGGTGAGTGGGATCTCAGGAAAATTCCCTTTGAAAGGGATTTGTAGTGAATAATCCCACTTTAACTAAGATCTTACGGGGAGCTCTCATAAAACAGCTTGCATGGAGGTCAAGCCATGGAGATCTGTACACTATTCTGGTGTGACGCATTATTGGGCTGGTATAGAATTTTTTTGCAGGGCTGCTTTTCGTTCTCAGTCCGGCTCTATATATATATAACAGAAAATTTATGCCATACTTACCGATATTTTCTTTTCCTGGATATATGCCATGGCAGCACTACGTATGGGTATAGCTCCTCCCCTTCTCAATTGGACAGGAACACCTCCTAATTAATAAAAGAGACTTCTTCCTATGCCCTCTCAGTCTTAGTTTAAAGTTACGAAATAACATAAATTTTAGAAAAGGGTGGGATCGCAGTGCTGCCATAGGTTATACCCAAGCTGAAAGGTACAAGGGAGGAAAAATAATAACCAAAAACGCAGGTCCATGCAAATAAAACTGTTTATTGATCCATCAACTATAAGGCAGCAGAGAGGACACTTCTACCAAATTCTGTGGTAGATGAACGAACTATGTCCAGCTGATAGTGATGAATAAATGTGTTGAAGGAGGACCATGTTGCTGCTGAACAAATGTGATCTGGAGAAATTTTGGCTGCAGCTGCCCAAGAAGAGGCCAAAGATCTGGTGGAATGAGCTTGCAGACCTAGTGGGACAGAAACTCCGGAAGCTGTGTAAGCCTGACTGATGGCTGAGATTATCAATCGGCCGATAGAAGTAGAAGAAGCGGCCTGACCCTTCTTGAAACCCAAAGGAATGATGAATAGCCTAGAAGTTTTCCTTATATCAGAAGTACGGTTCAGGTATGCAGATAAACAACGCACCAGATCCAAACAATGCCATTTCTCTTCTTCTTCAGATGAGGGATGAGGGAAAAAGGCTGGCAAAATGATATCCTGATTCATATGAAATGCAGAAACCACCTTGGGTCGGAATGCTGGAACGGTACGAAGAATCACTCGGTCTTCCTGAAGAATCAAAAAGGGGGACTCATAGGAAAGAGCGCCCAGCTCTGAGATTCTTCTACCCGAGGGAAGGGCAACTAGAAGAACGGTTTTCAAAGTTAGATTAGCAGAGAAACATTCTCCAAGGGCTCAAATGGAGAATCAGATAAGGTCTGCAAAACCAGAGGTAAATCCTAAGGAGGGGAGCAAGACCTCACAGGAGGGCGTAGCTTGAGAATAGCTTGAAGAAATATAGCAATATCTGGATCAAATGCCAATTTACAATCGAATAGAGCAGAGATAGCTGAAATCTGCACTTTTGAGGAGCTGAGACTCAGCCCTTTGTCAAATCCGTCTTGCAAAAATTGAAGGACGTCACTGGTGCTGGGAGAAAAAGGAGAAATTCCATGTGCCGTACACCAGCTACAGAAGATGGCCCAAATACGATAGTAAGCAGAT